CGCCCAAATCTTTTTACGCCTCTGCCTTGATTTTGGTATTGTTTTGTGTGTGTGATAGAAGGACGGACTCTTCTATCCGCAGGTTATGCGAGCTTTTGGTCATTAGCGACAGACTCACCGATTAGCCTGCTACAGTGTAAAAAAAAAAAACAAATTTTAACAAAATTAAAATTTTAGTGAATATCTAATAATTTTTTGAAAATTTTTTTAATGAAATATTTAATAAAAAATAATATAAATTATATAATAAATAATACCAAATTATATAGCAAATAATATCAAATTATAAGGTAAAAATTAATTAATAATTTATTTATATTGAATTATATAGTAAAAATTAATTGATAATTTATTTATATCATTAATATATCAACTTTTTTCACTGATTCTCTAACCACAAACAAAAAAAATATTCTTCAGAAGTTTTTATACTTCTGAGTTAACAAAGTCTTATCACTTATTTTTAATTAACTTGAAGATATTTCAAAAGTCATAATAGGTCAAGAAACACCTTTCCTATTAAAGGCAAGATAGTTTTGAAAGGAAGAAGAACTATACCATTATCTCACACTATAGAAAATCAATATAGAGCTGATATAATGACTAGAGACAACTGTAATTCAATACATTTAAGGACCAAAAATCTAAATTATTCTTCTAATTAGGTTTACTGATTATCCTGTGAAAGTTGTACTCAAACATCTAGAACCTGCTTGAAACAGGTTAGACTGTATGAAGATAGGACTTTTGGTCTTCCGTTGATCAGAGGCTGAAACTTAAGATTGTACTACCAAAAAAATTGCATGAAGTAAAACTTTTAGTCTAACCTTCCACATAAAGCTCCCAGCCCATTCTGCCCTGGCAGCCTCCAGAACTCTCACTCTTCTAGCTCAGTATATCTCAATCTGGTGTTTCGCTTAACTGAAAATCAGTTAATAGGGACTGATCTGATGTCACAGGTGGTGACAAAGAAGGTAATATACCTTCTTCTGAGGTCTAAGTGAATAATATCTAGGAATATTGGAGGGTATTTACATCCCGTCAGGTATATCTAACAGTTCTAGCTTAGTATATACAATAAAAATAGTCATATGAGCCCCATACTAACTAACCTAAGCATCACTATTTATGACTGTGTATTAATTATCTGGCCACTAGCTAGGTGTGCCCACTTTCTCAGTGGTAGTAGGTCTAGCTAGAATTGCCATAATAGATTAGTATTAATTTGTATATATAGAGATGTTTGATGTAATGACAATAGAATTAAATTGCCAAATAAAGTTTCGCATCTAATACCAGTTGTGGTTTAATATTTTAATGACTAGAGACAATTTTCCTATCCTCTCAATTATTTTCTTATTCTAATAATACTCGTTCTTGATTTTTCTAAAAAATTTTGTCTATTCTAGTGTTATAGACTAATCCAGCAAGTTTGTTACTAATTTGTAGTGCCTCATGTAATTCAAACAACTTACAAATATTTACAATTGTCACAAAGAAGAGAATGCCTTCTATAAAGAACACTTAGGAAAGGCAAGATATGGTAATGACTTGAACAAAGATAAGTATATCTTTATTTGTGTTCTGTTTCTTTGATATATCACTAACTCTTATCTTTATTCATAATGAGGGCTGCTTTCTTACACATTCAGTTCTGCCTTCTCAGCATACATTGGTAAGCTATTTAGAATTTCTAACTAATAATGAACTATCTAATTTATAATCAGCTATACTAACCCTAAACTTTGCTAAACTTTCTATACTTTATTTGTACCCAAGCCTTAATCCATAGTTTCTTATCTTGCAATACTCACTCTTTTATGTCAGATTTTCAAGTTTTTGAATTTTAAACTATTATGTATAAATTGTATCACTTACATAATCTACGATACTAGTTAGATTCTAAATTTTAAGTAATACAAAATTTCTCATATTATGATTAAACAGAAAGAGCCTATATTAGTAAAAGAAATAAACAAGCTCCTATTGATCACCTCATATGTTTGAATACATTTTTTCAATACCTATAAGAACCTAGAATCTATATAAATTATTCAGATCTGGATATAGGTGAATACAGGACATGAAATCTCCTATATTAATAACTATTAGAAAAAAACAAGCTGCAATAGGACAAATTGAATAAACAACAACTTCATCATCTTCTATTCAGCAAATGTAAACTAATAACTTGAGTATCTTCTTTTTGGAAGATTTTGATATACCTATTTTTCTACCGTAGATTAACAATAACAATATCAATTATCAATATCTATTGAATAAGATCCATACATACTTCTCTTCTTTTAAAAAAATTTTTTTAACACTAGTGGAGTTAAGGCTCTATATAAGAAATCATAATATTGGTGATGCTGAGTATTTTAGATAAATCTTTGATACATTAACTTTATTTCTTAGGGAATAGTGATAAGTCACTCAGTGGGCTTGACCTCAATAGGTTCAGGATCTAAAGAGTGTCATGACATATTAGGTCTAAATATTCAATTTTTGATGTCTAGTTAATTTGATATAGTAAAGAAAAATATCTATACTAGATAGTTATGTAGTTATTCTATTCTGGTGAAGTAAGATGTAAATAGTTAGCTCTATATACTATTCTATAATTTGTAAATTCTTAGACAGTATAGGTAATTATTTTTTTCAATTGTTCCTAGATGTAATATTTATTATAATAAAATATTGCCATAATATATAAATAAGCTAGCATCTAAAATAATAATAATACAGTAATAATAATATCATTAATATATTGAATTATTTATTTTTTTGATAAATATTACATATGTGATATTATGCTAAATAAATATTTTTTACTAGTGATATGTATTATTAAGAACTGATGCCATTTTCAATAAAAAACCCAAATCAGTAAACATAAAAGAAAAAGATAGAAAAGATTATATGGAAATTATTAAAAAATGGATTTGTTATGGAATCAAATAATTTGATTTTTAACTATAAACAAAATTTGGAATAATCTATAATAATGACCTATATACAATAATTTTATTGATTAAGGATTTATCCAAATCTGTAAAGGAGTGAAATATTATTTACTAAGTTGCATCTAGAGAAATAATAATTAAGTTAACATGTGAAAGTCACAAAATAACGTAAATATCTAGCATATATACAATAAAGACATGCCATGTTGATCTTGACTACAGGTTAAAAAAACTTAATATATAATACATATATATAGCTTTGAGTTTAGCTATTTTTCTTTCATGCATATTCTATTTTATATTTATTTTATATTTTATTAATTTTGCAATTTTAATTAAAAAAAAAAAAAAAGATAATATAAATAATATTTTAATTGCTTACTTTCCAAGTTAAAAAATTATATTTTCGTATACGCTAAAATATTTATTTATTACGTTATAATGTCATGCTATAAATGCGACCGAACCTTAATTAAAGCTCGGCTTCAAAAGCCAATCGAACCGAATCGGACTTTTAACAGCCCTAGGAATGAATTGATAATTTCATGTTGATACGGCATGGCGTGCATGGCTTGGCACTACTTTTTATGGTAATCGTCCGCTTACCTCGCAATAGCATTACACAGAATTCAAGGGTACCACTGCAGAACTTTCTCGAGTCCTGCATGCGTGCGTAACTTTATATATAATAATTATTAACCTTGTTTCGACAATGTAAATTTAATAGAATCATATATGTACACTTTTTTAAATTATGACTCTCCTTTTATAGTCAACCATAGACACCAAAACATTCCTTTTCCTTGTTGTATAATGTGCGATTGTCGTACTAATTTTGCTGAAGACTGGATATAAAATCGCACTCTCGAACTATGCGAAAAAAATCCTCAATGATTTTAACGATGTTAAGAATTGTTCTTATATTTGCTATCATTACTTCGTGTCTCGCCGCCGATCCCTCAACTTTAGTGACGAAGGCTTATGTACCGGGATCCGGATACTATAACAGTATTCCCTTAAAACTCTATGTATTCAATGTAATTCCAGGGTTTACCGAACCACCACACCGTATCAGTAGTAATGCCATTTACGCGTTTGTTTGCCCATCCGGAGAAGGCACAGTTCAAAATAATCTCATAGATTACATCCCAGGTGATACTGGTTATTCAGATTTATGGCACGTGCATGTAGTCATTGGAAGGAAATCCCATGATCCACCAGTAAAAAGTGTTAGCGAATTGCTGCAATTAGAAAAGGAAAAGAAAGTGATAGTAAAACCTATCGAATTATTTGTAGACAGTCCTGTCGGTAGGTATTATTTCATCTACTTTTTATTAACAAAGCATCCTCAATCGTTCTAATCTTTTTTTTTTTTTACAGTGGGCAAAGGATCAACAGTTCAAAGTCCCGGAGATGCAGCAACAAAATTTGCTTATTATCGAAACGAGGAAGTACAGTACTTTGATTTCGGACCGACACCAAACCGTGACAAAACTGCCGATATAATTCACACTGAAGACAGCAAAGGGAATATTTTATCTGTGATAACCACTACGATCCCCGGCAAAAAAAACTTTTCCCCATTCTGGGACGTTTTTAATGTCGTAGTTCCGGATTCCAGTTTAATTACCAATTTGAAGCAGATCAGAAAATATCCGAGAGTTTTTGCTGGTGTTAATGCGAATTGCCCTGTTGTTAGCGTTAACGGTAAACCGGTGCACTTCGATCAAGAATGGGAAAAAAGACTTAGCAAAAAAGGATATAATAAAAAATATTGATGCTACCACTTTAACGTTACTTCATAGACATACTGTAATTCGACCATGAAGGTTTATTTAATGTATTTTAAATATACTGTTTATTAAGGATTAATAAATTTAATAAAAACTGCGTGAAATAATGATTTTTAGAACATTATTATCATACTCAAAACGTGAGCAGGAATTTAAATTTTTTACAAATACTGTATATTTTTTACTAAAGATTAATTCGGCCATTTTCGAAAAACCTGTTGACATTGTAAATATAAAAAGGTAAAAAATTCTAATCTTATAGTATGTTAATATTTTTGCCAAACTTCAAAGTAAACTTTTACTGAAACAGACTATAAGTCATATTACCAAACCAATTCCTGGAACTAAATTACTATATACTATTCATTATAATCTAAAAATGAATAAACTAAATAAACAAATAATTGATTTCTTGATTTGCGGGTTTATTAATTTCAGCATCTTTTCATTTTGTATCCTGGTTTCTTTATATATGCCAATTATTTTTGAAAGCGAACCAGATTCAAAATTATAACACTAAAAATAATAATGGCAAATTATAATCCAAAAATTATAATTATAAAATCATAATTATAAATTATAAAAAATTTTTATTCATTCTTTATTTTCTTTTTGGTTTTTTTTTTTTAATTAAATTGCAAAATTAATAAAATATAAAATAAATATAAAATATAATATGTATGAAAGAAAAATAGCATGACTTGTGGATCAATAGCACAGTGGTAGTGCTCCCAGGTCACCATGAACTGCTTCCGAGTTTAATACCACTGCAAGGCAGTATCATCTAAGCCTAGGTGGTAAAGGAAGAACACATCCGCCCCATGATGATAATCACTACTACCTCTGGCCAAGATCCCATCTGATCACGGGATATCCAAAGATCACAAGATGCTTCAGCCAGTTTTAGTACTGAAGCCACTTCATCACAAGATAGGTTCTATCAAGCTTCTGCAGATAGGTCGAAGATCTGTACAAAGCCGTAAAAAGAGGAGGCTAATGGAATCTAGGTACATTAGTTAGAAGAGGGTCTTTACCAAAATTGACATCCATCCAAAATTCCACATAGTTACTCCATAGATAGGCTATAATAAGTTATGTAAAAAGAGTTATTGGCGGGACGAGATGACATCTAAGACTCCACGTGAGTATTCCATAGACATACTGTAATAAGTAATATAAAAAGAATATTCAATGGAATAAGACATGAAAGGGGTTCTATATTACAGATCCAAGGTCTATAGAGATGAAGGTCATGAAATGGTAACACAAACATAGGTAAGTGGGATAGTAGGGCTTTTTCTGGTAATAAGCCATGAGGATGTCAAGGATTTACAATCGGGTTTATCATTATAAGGGATAAATGGTTATGATAACTATAGGTTTAGTTAATAGATTGATTATAGAATTGCTCTGTAATTATATATTAAACACTATATATATACTATTTATCGACGTCAATAAACTAGGCTCTATTATCTTTTAAAAAAAAAGAAAAAAAAGAAAAAGAAAAATAACTAAACTCAAAGCTATATACTGTATATGTATTATATATTAAGTTTTTTTAACCTGCAGTCAAAATCAACATGGCATGTCTTTATTGTATATATACTAGATATTTACATGATTCTGTGACTTATACATATTAATTTAATTATTATTAAAAATTATTTCTTTAGATACAACTTAGTAAATAATATTTTACTCCTTTATAGATTTGAATAAATCTTTAATTAATAAAATTATTGTATATAGGTTATTATTATAAATTATTCTAAATTCTGTTTATAATTAAAAATCAAATTATTTGACTTTATGACAAATCCCTTTTTAATATTTTTATATAATCTTTTCTATCTTTTCTTTTTATATTTTACTAATTCGGGTATTTTATTGGAGGTAGCATTGGTTTTTAATAATACTATACATATTACTAGTCAAAAAATATTTATTTAACATAATATTACTTATGTAATATTTATCAAAAAAAAATAAATAATTTGGTATATTAATGATATAAATAAATTGTCAATTAATTTTTATTATATAATTCAGCATAAATAAATTATTAATCAATTTTTATTATATAATTTAGTATCACTGTATTTGCCATATAATTGACATTATTTATTATATAATTTATACTATTTTACTAAATATTTCATTAAAAATTTACTCAAAAAATCATTAGATATTCATCAAAATTTCAATTTTGTTAAAATTTATATATTTGCTAAATTTTTAATTATATATTATGTTTATAATTTAAAGGAATTATAGTCAAATATTTAAGAGAGTCTTATCAATTTAAGGCTCTATATATAAATGGAATAAATTAATAAAAAATATTATGAATGAAGATTATACATTTATATTTAACTGAGTAAAATTTGATACTTTACAATTCAATATTTGCATTATTTTCAGATCTAAAATAAAATATATTTTTTACAGAATTAATCAGTTTATATCACTGTATAAAGATTAATTTATATTCAATAATATTATTCAGAAAGTTTACTAAATATGTAAAAAAGTATTAAATTTGTTCTGAATATAAATTGATGCTTCTATTGTAATTTATAAATTAAGCTAATATAAATGAGCTCTTAATATTTTGTGAGAATATAACTGAATCAAATATTTCCCTTCCAATTTAACATTTACTATATTGATCTACTCTATTCTAAATAATTATTAAATTTTTATTATTTTTCATAAATAACTTCATAGTTTCATAAAATATTTTATAATATTTAACTAATTAATCTAATATTTTGATAAATATTTCCAAATTTGATTTTTTCAGATATAAGAGTTTACCTGGAAAGTGTTTAGATCTATTAATGATTATTTTATTAATATTATATATATTGTTTAAAAATTGAAATTACTTATCAACCAAAAACTAATTTAGTTTAAAAATTAAGTTAATAATTTAAAATTTTAAGTCCTTAATTATTAGAATGGAATATAGTTAGATCGATAATTCAATGATTATTTATTATTTTTTTACATTAATTTAGGTTCAATATTTCAGTAACTATTAGACAATAAACTTAAATTAATAATTCGTTGGAATTCTACTTTCAAATATTAAATTTGTTCAAAATCTATTTAATATACCATTTATTTTCTTAAATAAAAAGTATCAAAATATATATAATGTCCTATAATTATATATATATCCATATAAATATAATGAAAAATAAAGATAAAAGTTAAAAAAAAAAACTCTTTCACATTCCCAACAAAATTTGTAAAAATTTTCTTTTATGGTAACAACCCAAAGTACACAAGAAAAAACTCAACGCTTTCAAAGAGCTCCTACAATGAACATGTCAAGAAGGTTTCCCAGAGTTAAAGATACGGCTGTAAACTACACTAGTGAGAGAATCATTACTAGCAATGGCAAAATCACAAAACCACTCTTGAAGACCAAACTGGCAAACAAATTTAACCCATTCACTAGTATCAAGAGAAGTAAAAGAGTTGCGAAGAAAGAAAAAGAAGCTAAAATCATCTAAGACATGCAGAATCTCACCCAAGATCAAGAAAAAAGTATAGAACTCGAGAACAAAGAACATGACAACACTATAAATCTGGAGAAGAATATCACAGAAACCATTGATACAATAGAGGAGATAAACATGGAATCAAGACCACCATCCTTGTGACAGTAGTATTAACAACAATGACAGTAACCAAAGAGGGAGAGAGACCATGAATCACTAGGAGAATATTGTCAACAATAGATATAGCTACGAGAAGAAACAAAGGTCTAGAACCCCATTAACAAGACAACCACACTTTCAAAGACTCAACAATGTACTCAACCTATGCAAAGTCTTCATAGATCTGAAAGAAGTACTGGAAAGCTCTACACATGAAAAAATCGACTATATCCAAAACAAGCTGGGGCACTTGGTAACCCTGAAGCATGTATGTACAGAGGAATCAACAGCCACACAGATGATCACAGCATTATTCAGCAATTATCATAAGGCCTTAGAGGCATGCAAGATTAAGATTATCAATAATGAAACTATCAAATTTAGATTAGCACTACAGATCGGCACATCTGAAAGTAGAGCCCAATCCATTAGGCTTTGGGATGTCCTCAACTATTTCACAAAAAAGGACATAGCCAGTTTATTTGAAGATAAAACAGTCATAGAATATATTTTGCTTCAACCAGCAGGCATGGTCCAATCAGGAATTGTACAATTCATTCCAGAAGCAGTATTTGAAGAGCAGGTCAGAGCTTAGGCTCTCTACAAGAACAACTACTGTATGAGAATATACCCAATAGTTAAGACTCGGATCATTAAAGAAAAAAAGAACCAATATAATGCAATGCTCGTCAACTTCTCACAAGGAACATCAGCAAAAGAATTGAAAGGAATTATCGAACAGATGCATATCCAGGCATACTTTTTTCTCTAAACTAACTTAAACAAAACAAATGGTTCATTATCTTATATTTCAAAGATACACAAGACTTGGACAAGGCAAGGAATACCACCCTGTGACTGGAAGATACAGAACTCATGTGGATCTCAAAATCAACAAAACTTTGCTTTGGATGTGAGGCACAGGAACATAACTTCAATGCTTGTATCATAGTTAAGAAGGAATCAACACGGAGACATATAACTAATAGATTCGGTCGGTCAAAACTTCCCTCTCTCAAAGAAAAGGCTTTCAACCAACAAGGCAAGAGGAAAAGCCTATAATAGATTACACAACCAACACAAATCGAATATATACCAGCATAGCAAAAGGCTCCTCTCAGTTACCGGCACAGCTGGAAACACTTATTGAGGCTATCAGATAGCTTTAAATGGACATGAATGCCATTAAATATCAGGTTCACATATTGAATAAAAGAGTATCTGTACTGGAAAAAGGTTCACAAATAAAAGCAAAAGAACTAGAAATTATCGAGTCATCTACTGAGCAAGAACAATAGCCATTGAGATCAAGTT